TAAGAGTAGGTTAACGAAGATGACGTGACGGTAAACAGCGTGAGTTGCAACACCTGCTTGGTCCAGTCAGGACGTGGATGTCAGGAGGCGGATGCAGATGCACCGAACAGAGCATAATTTATGCACGACGACGACGGCAAGAACGTCATTCAATCAGTTTGATTGCGGGTTTAAACTATCGCTGTCAATGAAGCGTGTGTCTTACTCTTTTTTTTATTTTTTTTTTTCGAGATTTTTATAAAAAAAACAAAATTTTTATTGACCAATAAAAATTGGTGAAGTACAGTGAGTTGGATGCTATATTTTTTATATAAGTAATTCACAAATTACATAGTAAAAAAAATAAGGAAGTTATTACCAAACCTCTTATTATGCAATTTGGAAATATAGGATTCCATTTTATTGGAGGGAGCAGAAAACCATTATAAATCAATTTTACCTCGTCCTGGATTTTTTTACCCCAAAATTCAATTCAATAGACCAATCCCGATAAAACAACGAATCCAACCCAATCATTAGTTAATAATAGTCGAAAAAAAATATACCTTTATCCTATTATTTAATTAACTCGCATTACTTATTTCAAGCACGATGATAAATAAAAAATTATGGTCACGCAATATTTACGGCTAATTTTTCTCAATTGTGATTGATTTTTTTTATAATTATCATATAAATATCTAAAACGGAAGATCACGTATTACGGGGCGATAGTTAAAGGTTAATTTTTTATGCCGTAGGTGGATTATGATGGAATAAACATCTGTTTTTTTCCTAGAATGATTTTATGAATTAATTATGGACAATCGAAGCCGATGGATTTTTTCCAGGAAAAATGCCGGCGTTTTAAAATTCAAGAACGATATCACGAATCGTACGTTTCGTCGCTAGTTCGTTAAACTTACAGAAGTTTATTTCCTAGCTTACGTAGGTACATATAAAGTAGGTGTAATAACTAAATTAAATAAAACATGGTGTGTGAAGTGAAGTGCACATTTGTGCTTATTAGCCGGTACAGTTTTTTAAAAGTTCCTACGCCACTTTAAAAAATGGTAAATTCTGTGGTGAAATCTTTATAGGGTATATAAACATTTCGATAGATGATAGGAGCATTTCACCGATGGTAGCCGAATCGATTTAATAAATTCAACTATTTTACGGCAATCTAATCTATTTTATGTGGGAAAACGTCGAATTTATTACGGTTTATCATCGTTTTCGACTCGTATATCGGTTCGCACACACACAACGCATACACACACGCCCGGAGCCGAACCGGCTTATAAAACCCGAAATGCATATCTGTACAACACGGCGTCATATTTTTCAGATAGATCCTTAAGCACAGGAATGGACTGGCCCTTTATGTTATAATTAAATTTTAATTTTCACTTCAAATATCAAGTTTCAGTAATTTCAATTTTATTAAATCCCTACTTTCAAGTTTAAGAAATAGAAAAAGTTGAACTATTTTGAAATATTCCTATTAGGTACATCAATAACACTTACCTACAAAATTTCCAAAATTTTCCAATAGACTTACTGTGGCTATTTGTTTTTAATTGGTTGTATATTAGCATCAAATATAGTAAAACAATGTATTATAACAAAATTACAAAAAAAAAATTTCTAGTACACTACTGTGTCCAACAAGGCATCATATTTTCAAATAGATCGGTGGATCCAAGGTGGCTTTTATCGCTTGCTACCAGGTTCCCGAATTATAAAATGATTTATACGGTGAATAGACGGTACAGAATATATGGGTATATTCCGATCTTATATGCGAACATATAAAATGGTGATTTATCTGGAAGGTTTTTTCCCATTTCGGGATTGGCATGCAAAATATATTTTTTGGTGGCGAAAGTTCCCTCGAAAATTAGAAATCTAAAATATATGGAAGGGAAATATAGTCACATATGCGTTGTTTTGGTGGGACACATTAAACCATATCATCCACCAAAAATGATCCAGTTTAAATTTTGGTGGATGCATCCATGCAACCGCTTATACCTACCCCATAGTAGAAAATCTAATAAAATTTATTTCGAAAGTAAAACCCGTCCCAACAAATTCCAGAAGTAATTCGGTTTTATGGCCCACTGTAGATAAATAAAAGCCGCCTAAATGCGATCGTAACTCCAGTTTAACATCCTTTTAATTACCAATTTCCTTGCCCCCGGTTAGTGTTAAGACAAGTGTAACTGCGGCATTTTTTTTCACTTATTACTTCCCTCGAGCGGAAACCTTCCGAAATTAATTTAATTAGGAGAGCTGCGTTCGTGAGCCGCGCATAATTATTGTACGACATAAAATTAGCTTTAATTTAATATTTCGATTATGCCAAGTCCGTATAATCAGTGTCCTCGGGGTTAGGGTGGTCAATGAATTTCGGTGCAGCTGCGGTCACTGCCGCACATTGTGTTAATTGATACGTCGACGCAATACCAGCACGAGAACTATTAAATAAAGAAAAATTTAATATGTATATGGATAATAAATTGCGATGATATATTATTATACCAATATTCGAATGTATTACTTCACACCGGCTGTGCACGAGTCAATAGTAGCCGTTGTATGTATAATAAGTGGAGTTGTGGCAGAGTACACTTTATCCACGATTAGCAAATAAGTTTGCACTCGCACACAAATTACTTATTGCCCAATTTTCGAGGATAATTAACCCAACATTCCATCAAAATGCGATGTCGTTGTTTCACGAGCAAACAACAGCTGAACGTAAATATACAAGGCGCTCGTCGAATGTTGGGTTTATTAAGCAATCAACAGTTGCAACTACACTCCAGTGCGAAACATTGGTAATTATTTAGCTTATTTAGTATTTTACTAATGAACGAATTTTCTGTTATTTTTAATCATTCATACATTTTTTTATTATATACCGACATGTTTTGCATATGTTTCCAGTAAATAAAGGTAAATATAAAATAGTGCGTACTTGCCTTATGCAGTACCTTCTACAAAAGTTTTTTGTTACTCGTTTTTCGCATTTAATTAAAATTTATTAACTCCTAGAGGCGATTAATTGACCATCAATAGCATTTAAATTCCGATATAATCTGAAGTGTTTTCACTGGCGGTAAATAATTATAATAATAATTGTAAAGATATCTTCTAATAGTGAATTAAAAGCTGATTTCTCTTTTTTTATCTGAAAACCGTGAGAATTATTTTTTCGGTTCAAAGCGACTTCTTAAGCTGTTTCAGTCGTTTGGTTTTCGAATTAATCTGATAATGATGGGAATTTATGCAAATATGCAGCCAATAAAAAGATGTTAGCTAATTTACGTGTAGATTAGGTATGTACATATGTATCATTTTTGATCGAAATTTGTATACTTCATAAATTAAAAACATTCTGTCAAATTAATTAAAAAATTTGAAATTTATTACAAGTATAATTAAAAATTAGTTGCAATATTTATAGATATACTTAAAGTAATTTTACGGTTGATAATATAATTGCGTATAAAAAAAGAAACCTGGAAACTTGTACGTGAGGATATAATTTTTTGAGAAATTATTACCCGGGAGATTTACGGTATTGTTTAGATTTTTATAACGACAATTACTCATACACCTGCAACACTATAAGGAAATACTACTTACAATGAAAATAAACCAGAAAAAATGTATTTTATGATTAATGAAATGTGCCTACATGCGTTTATAGACGTTTTCACTTAGGTACTAATTAATAATTTATTAACTAATAAACAAAATTTTATGCAGTAAGCTATTTATCGGTGTTTATATAGCTAGGAACTAACCGGCTTTTAAAAGAATATATGTTCATTAGACAATTTTCTGTGGGTTTATAAATATTTAAATAAATTTAACATTGTATCAGTACGACTATCTTTTAAAAGAAATTTTAACTTAATCCTCCAATCGAGCGACCGGCCCTGCGGGCTTTAAGTACAGAGGAAATTGTTTCGTTTTATGGTTAACACCATGAAATGTCAATGCACCACTCAAAACATGTCCATCCCATAAAATCGTCGACTAAATAATTGTTATTCTTTGTAGGCATGCCTCATTCTTCCTGTACAAGTACGTTCTAACGGTGAAATTTTAGTTCTTGAATTACAATCGACGTACAAACGGATTGTCTATCGAATATCGATGATACGAAAGTTATACTTGTTTGATTTTTTTCTAATACACTACCAAATACATTTATAACGTAAAAAAATAACTGTACCTATAAGCTCTAATGTTATAGATAATATTGATTGATTATATAAGGATAAGAAATATAATTCAGTTGAAAAACCATTATGATAAGGATTTAGGGTTAATAAAAAATAGAAAGCAATCATATGGTTACATGTATGTTTAAATATATTTCAATTGCACTTAGTGAAGGTTGCGTAATAGCCCCCAAAAAAAACCTATTTTGATAAATTAGACCGTTAAAAATGATAAAATTCAATATTGAAGCAACCCCAAATTACAATAATCCATCATTTTAAATGCAACTCCTTCCCTATTCTCGGTCAAAGCCAAATTTCAACAGTGAGAACATGTGATGACCACCTATGGATATGACACCATTTACCACCTGACTTAACTCTTTACAGCCCGGCGTTTCGAGGACGACGATAAAAAACTAATTATTTCGTCCCTATCGTTGAACAAAAGGGTTAAGACAGAAAATCATTTATTTAATTTCTTTTATTGCTTTTGATCTTTCGGATATGAGTTTTTTTTTAATTTTGTAACAAATGGATTTATGACATATGTACGATTCGTTGTGGTATTAACGTTTTGAACCCAAAGGATTCCAACAGCTGGAGTAGGTATTTTACATTTTGGTAGTTTCGAAAATTGAAATTAATTAAAGGATTAATTCTATTCGACGGGTTAGAAAAAGCTACATTTAAATATAAAATAAAATATTTAGCGGTAGCCGGTACGTCGCTTTTTAATTTAGATAAGATTAGTAAATTACGAATTCGTTCTGATTAGACATGTATTCGACATGGTACTTTGAATAGACAGTAATTAAAATATTAGTAGGTAATTTTATTCGAGTGTATTTATCATTTTGATTTAAAGATAACAAGTTTAATTGAACTAAAAATAGATATGATAAGAGTTCTTAATATTATTTTAAATTATTTTGTTATTTAAGATAATATTCAAAAGTTTGAATTTTAACTTGTTTGTTAAGAAGAAAACTTAATAGTATTTTAAGGACATCTTCCTATACACTTTTTGAATTGTTAAAGGTTTTCATTGAATATAACACACGCCTGTCTATATTTGTATAAGATAATATATTTCTAATAAAATTTTTGTTGTTTCAGATAGACCACCCTGTACAGCGAAGGGACGCTTTAGGGATGCGGTAGTTTCGAGCGTCTAGTGCGCGAGGGCGCCACCGACCGGCGGTGTCGACGTCAGCAAACTCCCGAACCCGAACATCCCCGTCCTGTAACGCATCCCGGCCGCCGCGGCGCCCTTAGTTTGGGCTATCGGCCGCTAGGTGGCGACGCCGGCGTTCTACCACCTTGCACACGCGGAAAACCACCCCACTTTTTCCCGTACCCTCCCCTCTGCGAAGGGAACGCAAGGCGTGGTCCTAAAATAATTGTAATTTTTTCCTCGCAGAAGGATCTCCTGCAACGAGGCGGAGTTTTAAAAATATGGTGGCGGTCGGGTTTTAGGGGGGCGGGGTTCCGGGCGGAAGTCGTCGTCGCCGCGCTGACGCCGTACGTCGTTCCGTAGTTTCTCTCCGACTACCGCGAAATTAACACCAACTTTGAGGCTATACGCACTTCGAGCGGAATATTAGCTGGCAGGAAAAACGCATTTTATTGGACAAGTGCAATGGTGTGCAGGTGTCGGGCGAGTCGAGAGGAACAGGTAAACGCATGCGGTTGCCGCTTTAGCGGTCGCTATACATATATATATTTTTTTCCATGTCGGATGGTTCTTTTTTATGATGTACAACTATTTGTCGTAATGCGTACGCGTTTGGTATCGCCTCCGGCGGTTGTTGATACAACCATGGGTGTGCCATTTGCCATTGGTGATTGGTGATTGTGATTGCGAACGCATAGGTAGCTATAGGGTTACTCGTGCATATTTTGCTGGGTGTGTTTTTACACAATCTTTCAATATCTTTGCGGATAATAGATTTATTAGATAATATTTATTACGTTTGTGATATTTGATAGAGATAACATACCATATAGACATCATCCGCAAAGCATATACATATTAAAATACACAACAGAAAATTAAAAACTAAACAAGATCTTAATCTTCAACTACATACGAAAATTATTCACTATTAAAGTATCTAATACCAATATAAATTATTATCTAAATCTTCAATTTTTTTCATTAAAGACAACTTAACCTAATAAATCCTTACTACAAATTGAAGCTTATTTTGTGAAAGTTTTGAATCTTCATTCAAGTGTTATTTAAAAAATATCTCATAACTCATAATCTTCCTAAGGCCGGTCCAAATGATTTTACTAGACAAATTTTACTACTTTATACAAATTCCAACCGCCTCATTCCGTAGGTTATAATTTAAGTAAGTTACTGTATATAGAGTTATTGTTTGCCGTATTTATCTACCCACATTAATGCCATATTCTTACATTTTATTGTAGCTTCTTAAAACGCTTATTCGTTTATTTCAGCAGTAATTTCTTCATTTCGGTTACAATAATTGCAAAACGCAGCTGTTTGAATAAATTAGCGTTAAATTATTTCTATACAATTTTTATTACATTCCACCGGTATATACCGGTTGTCAATTTTATTTGAAACCCTCAGAAGTTGCATATTTTGAATTGAATAACACCTTCTTTAATCAGCTAATGTAAATATGTTCATTGTTAAATATAATTCTTCTTTAAACTAGCTATACACTGAGCCTAATTAATGTCTTGTAACCCACACATTATGATGTAAAATTACAACTTCAACTTCAATTATTATAAGTAGTACTAGCAACTACTTCAAAACTTAAGTGCATTATTTCCTTTACAGCATAATTGATAAACTGTAAACACTCTTGTATCTGCGTGTATAGTTAAACTAAACCATGGAGATTTAATTTTTAAGAGACACAAGTCGTTAGCGATTTTCATTAAAAGGATGCTATTACAAACAACGTTTTGTAACATAAAATTTGTCTTTTAAAATTACCCGTAAATCTTTAATCGATTTAGTTTTCCTTCAGCTATCTATAACTAGTGCTCAATCATTCTGTACCTAATGGTTATCTGTCATATCCAGTTCCATTAATCATTTGAATGTCTGTACCATTACCAAATAAAAAACTATGCATGTATAGAGAAGTATACAAGAAAAGTTATCGGCTATAATTAGGGAAGAGTTGATAGTTATCTATATCGAAATTTGTTCAGAAATTAGAAATACGTATAGAGCGGGCAGAGATGTCTATTTTTAACTTGGTTGGCCTCTCGATTTGGTGCGCTTTATAGAAGCGTTTATTTATTATTAAATTTTTACAACAAAATGTTCAGTTTTTGTACTGTCATGCATGAGTTAAACCTCCTTGTAAGAGTCATGCTGGTAACATAGCGAGTGGAATAAATAGGATGTACGTAAAAAAATTAAAATTAAACGATATATTTATTTAAACTGACAATTGGCGTACCATTAAAACGTATGATAGCGCAAACATCATGGAAATTTTCGTGTTATTACGAACGATTAATCGAGTTGAGCAACCCGTAATAAACAAATTACTCTTCAACTACTCCATAATCAAAAATTCGTAATAACAGTATCTGATGGTATTTTTTTCGGTAGGTTCGATTGCGGTTTCTTTTTCATCTAACGTTGAATTTTTTTCTTTCCAGTCGAATGCAATTGCTGGAGGACGCAAGACGCCGTTTTTTCGCCCCCACCATCTTTCCGTAACGTGAACCGTAACACGCAAGCTCTGGTTGCATGGAAAGTGGAGGGAACGAAGATTTCTCGTGTCAAACCCGCTATTTCTACACCCAGTGCATTTCCAGTGTACATATGGTGTGATGACCAGCGAATTCCTGCTGGGAGCGCACAACCAAACTGAAACTGGACTCTTACCAATCAATTAACCAGCCAATTTTAATTGAACATTCGTTGCAAAATCGAGGAGATAAGTCGAAATTGACGAAAAAAATTGTGGTACAATTATTTCGATATAAATACTTATGTGTAGTGAAGTGAACTTGACTTGTGATACGATAGACTATCTGCTGTTTTTGAAATATTGCTGACATTAGGCTGGTCCTGTTTATTTTGGTAAGTATTTTTAATTAGTTGGAAGCGAATTTAGATAATCAGTTTATTTTGTTTTCGTGTGGAATGATATGCAAAGTTTTGTCGTAAAGTTATTTTCCACGAAAAGTGACCTATCCAATAAAAATTGACGTTGATTACTGATTTCGTTTGCGTGTTTGTACCAAAAATATAATACTATTCTTGATACAAGTACGCTAACAAATTATTTATTAACCAGATAGGTGGGCAATTAATGGAAATACCAAAGTATTGGATTTAAAAAATATGCTACAAATTATTAAATTTTTGAGATTCTTCAGCAATTTACACTGTCAGCGTATCCTGTAAATTATCAAATATAATTTAAATTTAAGTCGTTTTATGTGTTCTGTTGAGTTAATAATTAAACCTATAAAATACAACTAACGATCCTGAAACGTTCAAGCCGTCATTAAGCGAAGAATTTTATAAGCAACAGCTGAAAATGTTGATGTAGATACCTGTTTTCAGTTGACATGAAATACCTATACCTTACTTTTATTGAATTTCAAATCTCACTGAAACTAATTTCTTAGTTTGCTTTTTTTTTAATTAAATACATAAAGTCGACTTTTTACGTTTTACCGTTTCTTGACTAGTAACATCAAACAGTTCTCATCACTGTTCTCATTCAGTAATTTCAACTTCTTTATTTATACATCTACGTGCGTGCTGTATTATTAAATAGCAACAACCCATTAATACGACTATCCGCAGCAAAAAGTCAAAGAAAATACCACGCTGTCGGTTATTATTTTACTTTAATCCCGCTAATTTTTTTTCGTAATTCATGCACCGATTTGTTGCATTCACGCAATTTCATATGCATGTGATTTTTTGCCAATTAAAAATTTACAGTCGACGTACAGTAAGTATACACATACGCTCGTCTTTTATAAATAATATATGTATTTGTTAGAAATTATAATTTATTTTAAATTTAACCTTCATTGGATAAATCGTATGTAGGTAATCAAATTTAAAAAAATTACAGAATTGAGCACTAAAAACAATTAAACACTAAATCAATAAATTTACCAAGAATCTACGATAAATAAATAACGTACGCATATATCTATAATGTAAAAAAATCCGCTGACAAATTATATTACTTATAGCTATAGAATCGCAATTATACAAGGACACTTTTTACCTTTATCTTGCATCTCTTGCATATACCACGAAGTCCGGGAACAGATGCTCATCGGAAAATAAAAAAATATCCGATACCGGCTCTGCATGAGTGGCGAGTACGCCGGCATTTAAATTAAATCTTAATTGTTTCTGGGTAGGTAATTTGAGAGACCAATCAACTTCGGAGACCCTATCTCGTTTTCAGGATCTGTCGAGAAACTATAACATAAATTTTCAGATGGGAAGAAGAATGCAGTTTGATGGGAATATTCTCGTCCTCTCGCGTTATCTCCGCCAGATATGCCAGCGTTTTGAGATAGCGCAAAAATAGCTAAACAGCTGCAAATCAGTTAAATGCCAGAGAACCTGTTAAACCTTGTAATAAATAACTAAACCCAGTTGAAGGGACTCAACAAACACTTATACCCGTACTGATTGTATGCAGTTAAAAGTACAGTAAATTTTAGTAAAGAATCCAACAGGGTAGATCGATACAGGTAATATTTCCTCTTCGAACAAATACAAATACAAATAAACATTCGTTAAATGTACAGTACAAGCGGCACGATTTAGCCATATCTACATTGATATACTTATAGTACTCATATGAGAGTACAAGTCTGTTGCGACACTTTAGCGCACGATTTTTGTTGCTGCGCTGCTGCGATTGTATTCGGGCATGTAGCAAACGGCATGAACGTTGCCTCTTCGTGCTCTTCGATCACTTCGATATCAGTTTTCTTGTGAAACAACGATGTACAAATGCACAACGAATTAGATTATTTACGGCATGCTTATATAGAATTTTATTGTTAACAGTATTTATAATAGGAGAATGGAATAATTCGCTTAATAAAACCTAACGTGGGTATTATACTTATCGTATTCGTATAAATATTTGCAAACTTACTGATATGCGCTTTAGAGCTGCAATAAATCGTGCACTTTCACTGTTTTGGGTTGTTCGCTAAATAATATCTAATAAATTCGACCTAGTTTTTTAAGGTGCAAATCATCCCCTTTAATAACACACAACCAGGGTTACTTTTGTTTAATTTTTTTTACGGCATCCATCGTTAGAAAACGGATCCCTATTTTCGCATGATGTGCAATATGCAAAACAGGGGGTTCGTAAACCGACTAAAGAGGTACAAAAAAACAACCTTTATCTAGATGTAGCGCAACGCCAATGTTCGTATAAATTGCATACGTTTTTTTTCTAACCCTTTCCACATCTGCATACTGTTTCGTGGCAGATACGGATAACTGATGGTTTATCGCTAGGACTATAAATTTTGGTGTCATCCTTTGAAGTCGGAATGTGACGAGGATAGTTGTCTTGCATAAATTAGATATTCCGAAATTTGCAGGAATAAAAGCTTCCATTTTACCTATTAAACGTTATAATTTATACTCCCTTTTATAAATGTCATTTAGAAATGTTTTATATCATCCATTATATCTACACTTGTAAAACACAGTATAAAATTTGTTATCTATTAATTAATTTTATCAAAAAACCTACCTAATTATAGAAAATTTACATTCGAACCTTGAATTTGTAGCAAGAAATATAGGTTGTTTCATTAAACTTTGCCTTACAATTTCGCAATTATAAATTTAAATTCGAAATTGATAGAAAAGTAATTAATCAATATAGTAATAGATATTTAACGAAACAAATAGCTATAGAAAAAATGCTTATTAATTGTCGTGTGTCCGGTATAACACGGTAGAGCAAAACATTCACCTAACCAAAGTAGATCTACCTATTGTCCTTCCACCGTTAAAAATCGGATATTAATATTTCTAAAGCAGTTTAATTATTTTTCTGCAAAAAATAATATATTTGTTTTCAAAAATAATTAAGTCTTAGTAAATAAAGTTCTCACTCCAAAAAAAATTCAATAAGAGGATAAAAATAACTTGTTATGTACAATATACATAGGTACATTAAGTTAATGTTAGTGAGTGTTTAATAATGAAAATGCAATTAAATTATAATTTGTCATTTTAGCGAATATACATATAAATTTTAATCAATTTAAATAGCACTGCCGTGATGCTCGACATATTATTAAAACTATAAAGTAACCACCTCTTTGGACGGTAGGTAGTAATTTAACAAGATCGTCTTTTTTCTTATTAATTTTATTAAAAAAAGTACTTTTACATCGACAATGCGGGACCGGAGAGAACGGGTTATGTTGATTTATTAGTTTTGTTAATATTTTTCAGAAGCGCTACTTCAAGGCTTTTAATGATGTTACTAATGACGAACAGTAGTTCGTACTTGTACGATATAAAAGGGAAGAAGCGAAATGCTTTCTCAAAGTTTATAATTAGAAAATGATGCATATGAAAATCAGGTATATGACATACGAAAAAAACGACATTTACTCGTTCTGTAATAAATCATCCTAAAAACCATGAACGTAGAAAATTAACTTCACAAGCTACAGAGTGAGGTAGGCAAAAATCTCGCGATTGCGTACGTTTCGATCGCTAGGAAAAAAATATTCAAAACACCTGGAGAGGTAATGCGAGTTCATGAATTGCAAATCGAACCCTTTATTCCAATCCCTAAGGCAACGATGTAAACCAAATGTAAAGTTAATACCTTTCTTGGCGTACCTTTTATGAAAGGCTTCGTACCCTTTCATCCCGATAATGAAATGCAAAAAGAAACGCTTCTCTCGTGTACGATGATTACACGATCCGCGGCCGTTTTAATGCGAGTTTAATTTTAACGAAAAAGAAGAGAAAAATTGGTAAATAATTCCAGAAGGCGTAATTATCGGTGTCAAGTGGCGTACGACAACGGATTTAAGAGAAATAACCGCATTACGCTGAATAAACTATCCGCCTTAAGCAAGCGTACTTACAACTGTTGATTACACTAATAACTTGCACAACTTTTTAACGACCAGTTTGACCAATCGTGTTTACTTGAAATAGTGAAATTAAAATTAATTAGCTTGTATCATGACATACGCCGACAATATCCTTGTCTATAGGTTATTCGATGCATTAACGAATATTTTTTATCGACATTTTTGCCGGTTTCTATTTACACAAACTATTAATTTCCAACGTTTAATTAGATATTGAATAGATAAATCACAAAATATCGCTATTGGGACGGTTTATCAATGGCACTCGTGCAACATGCATTCGCCGGAGATTTATGTTCTGTTGAAATTATTGGTAATTTCGAATCCGTTCGTTATCATCGGTAATTACACACCCTAACATGATCCATTCAACTAATCTTAACCTAGAATTATCTCACCTATATTGATGACTTCCATATTAAAATTGTGGAATAGACATATTATTGTTATAAATAGGATTGTTAGTGCTGCCGAGAGGCTTTTTGCTGCTTTTAGCCATTGTAGAACGTTAGTCCGTAAAATAAATTGTCGGTATTTTCAAGTTGTAGTAAATAGTAAAAAATAAAATTTTTTAAAAACGTATTTTCCGTGAGTGAAAAGTTAATTGGCGCAGTCAGTAGGATACTCAGAATTGATTCGAATCGATCGTGTCAATTTTCGTGTTAACGATTGACTGAGTATTGTGAAAATAAAAAATTAAAATAACTGTTGGCGAACTGTCCAGTAATTTGTGCGGTGTGGTTCCAAAATCGAATCCAATCAATCCATCGAGGATCTGCTCAATTCCTGTACATCAACCATCGGAGTTTGGAATAAAAATCGTCCAAATTCGCAAGGCAACGTTCCTGGTGACGACAAACATAGCTAATCCAGTTCTACTAAGCCTTATAATATGCTAAGAATTTGTTCCATTTTACTGTAAGTACAATTTTATGACAGAAATAAGCGATATTG